GTGCCGGGACTCTGTGGCTGGTGGCCCCCCCCGCGCTCCCAGGGCGGCAGGAGCTGGGACGTGCCGCCGGCAGGCAGCAGGGATGCCGGGACACTTAGTCTGCACGGGGGGACCAGAGCGCAGACCTGGTCCCGGGGAGCGGGCAGCCGGGGAGCTCTGGGCAGGAGGGCGGCAGGGCACAGGCGGCTGGCGTTCGCCCAGCGGGGCAGCGCGGCGTGTGCTCCCTGGGCAGCGTGCAGATGGCCTGGGGATGCATTGGGGCTGGCGTTTAGCACCGGCAGCAGAAACATTCGGAGTGCAGGTACCTTCTATAGAGATCGGGGAGGAGGACTGCTTTGGGGTTGAGCTGAGCTTTGGGGCTCATCAGCTTAATTTGTGTCCCATGCTCCTTCCCTGGAGGAGGATGCTTCTCTGGTGCAAAAGCACCAAAAAGAGATTAATCCTGAGTTTGGTGTAGGCTGGGGATTAGTCTGGAGCATCTCCCTCTGCCCATCTGTCAGGGCACTGCTGTGTGCCGCGAGTGCCCCCACGCAGACCTCGCGCTGCCCACGGTCTCGCTTCCTCAGGGCACCATGTGTGGGGGGATGCACGGTGGCCTGGGGAGGCCACGGGCATGAGGTACAGCTCTGGGATGGAGATGAAAGGAGGTGTGAAGGATTCGGGGCTTCTGCTGTGCCTGTCTGGTTTGCAACCATCTGAGAAATCTGCGGAGCTGAGAGGCACTGCACTTGGCCTGGCATCAAACAGCATCTGTCGGGAGGAGAGGAGCAGGGATCCAGGGAGGAGAGGAGCTGGATCACAGGGAGAACAGGAGCTGGATATAAGGGAAGAGAGGAGCTGGCTCCCAGGGAAGAGAGGAGCTGGGACCCAGCTCCTCTCCTCCCTGGGTCCCAGCTCCCAGCTGCTGGAGTATGAACTCGAGATGCTGATGAGGGGCCTGGGGGCAGCTGGGGAGGCACAGGCATAGACCGAGGCCGGGTCTCCAGGCTCACAGCACTTCTGCTCTGTCGCAGGCGGCACTCATACCGGACAGGGCAAGACATCGCCAACTGTGGGACCTGCCGGGACTGTGCCTGCATCATCTACAGGTAAGAGCCAGCACTGGCACCCCACACGTTCCCGGCGGGGGCCCTGCTCTCCTCCACCTCTCAGACTCCTAATTTGGCTAAGAGGCAGAGGCGGAGGGGAGTTGCGAGTCTTCATTCCTGGGGACCGTGCTGGGCAATGGAGGGGACCTGCCCGCCTGTGCTCCATCTCCTGTCCCCGTGGCAGGGTGGATGCTCAGGGCACCCCGAGCTGCAAGGGGCTGCAGGGTCTCAGCAGTCCCTCCTCTCCTGTCCCTCCTAGTGCTCTGTTTGTCGCAAAAATGCCTCCAGCACCTTAGGACAGACACAAGCTCAGCTGTACAGGACCACAGGACCAGCTAAGACCCCCTGCGACAGGTCTCTGGCAGAGGCCATTGCAGGAAGCTCAAGGGAAAAGGTGCCGGGGCACACAGGGAGCGGCTGTCCCCGTGCTGTGTGTACAGCGCCGTGTCCTTGAACCTCATCCTGCTTATCCTTGTCCCAAGGGGCCCATCCCATCTGCAGCCCTGCAGAGGGCTGTACGCAGAGGGCCGTCAGCCCTGCTGTCCCCGCAGCCACTCCTGCTCCCAGGGCACCACAGACGGACCGCTCGTGGGTGTCGGGGGGCACCACGTACAGAAGGGCCATTGCCAAGGCCCCTGCGCCTGCTGAGAGGCTCCCATGGGACTGGAGAGAAGATGGCAGTGCCTGTCATGCCAAAAGAGAGTTCGGTGCAAAATGCAGCCCCACCTCACGGCCTGGGGCCCAGCGGGCAACCGTGCACCCCCAGGGATACAGAGGTGTGCTCATCGGCCAGCACAAGGTAACCTGCGGGCCCGGGCAGAGCTGCAGCAGAGCCAGGGATGTGGCAGAGCTGGGGACGCATTCCCGTGCCTCAGCCAGACCTGGAGGACTGCCGTTCCCCGGGCTGCCGTTCCCCGGGCTCTGCTGCAGCCGAGGCCAAGCAGAGGGGCCAGCCCCGGCCTCAGCCCAGGCAGCTGGCTGCTGCACCAGGGCAGGCGGGATGGGGACAGCAGGGACAGAGATGCCATTTCAGCCAGAGCCTGAGCCTGGGCTGTGCTGAGGGCAGGATGGCACAGCTGCCCATCCCTGGACTATTTCTGTCTTTGCTGGGTGACCCTTTCCTCTGCAAGGAGTCCTCAGACGGGGCTCACGGGCTGCTCCCCACCAGTGCCACACTCCGGCCACGAGCTCGCAGCCTCCCCTCTCTCCTCGCAGCTCTCTTTGTGGCCCTAAAAGCAGCATCTCCTCTGGCAGGGTGCACCATGCCGGGGCATGGTCACACATCTGCCCTGCCAGCTCCGTGCCAGGCGGGACGCTGAAGCTGCGCCTGGACACGGCTGGCAGCCAGCGTGCCGGGACCTCAGCGGCAGGTTTGGAGGGGCACGGGTGCTAGCACGGCACGGGTGCTCACTGTCCTCGGAGCAGGGCTTGGCTCACCGGGCCAGCCAAGAGCTGTTCTGGCACACCGCTGCCAGCTCTTCCCCAGCATGCTGCCAGCGCTCCTGGCACGGGTGCAGGCACCTCAGTGCTCTGCAGCCAGCTCCTACCACGTGTCGAAAGGCCAGAGCAGGGTCCTGGTGTTACTTGGCCTGAATCTGGTCCCTTTATCTCTGCAGAGAGCAGCTCCCGCTCCCAGGAGTAGATGGGGTGATTTTCATGAAGGACAGCTGACTGGCTGCGGCTGGAAGGAGAGCTGCTCCAGTTCAGTGGCAGAGCATTTATCTTCTGTAGAAGCACCATATCGGGGAAAGCCTCATTAGTGGCTGGTGGGTGGGCTTGCTCGCTTGCTCTGAGTCCAGGCTGCCTCGCGTCGTCCCTGTACCAGCTCTGCAGAGACACTGCAGACAGGCTGCCGGTCACGCAGCGGGTTTCTACCCCTCGCCAGGGGACCGTGGGGCCTCAGCTCTGCTTCCCCGGCATTGGCACTGGGCTGGGACATGGAAGCGCTTTTGTCCACTGCCCTCTCTTCTCAGAGCCCATTTGGTCTCAGGAAAGGCATCTCACGCCCTGCCGGTGCAGGCAGTGACGTGGCTGGGGCCCTCTCCCCGTCAGCCCTGTGGGAATCGGGGAGCTGCAGTTTCACCCGAGCCTTCTGCCCATCCAGGCATCCGTGGGTGCCCGTCTGCCCCTCTGGCCGTGCAGCCGGCCATCTCCCTCTGTGCATGTGCAGGTGGCTGGCCAGGCATGTTCTCGTTTTGCTATTAATTAGGCTTACTTTGCTAGTGCTCAGAAGCGCAGGGTGCAGCGTGCAGAGCTGGTACTGAGCAGCGGTCCGCGATGTGCACACGGGGCGGTTTAGCTGCTGCCCCGCTGTGCTTTTGTGAGCGCCTGTGCGTGGGATGGACGCGCTCTTCTCCGGGCGCCTCCGGGCTGGGGGTGCCCCGGCACCGGCCCCCGCTGCGCACCAGCATCCTCACACTCCCTGCGCCGGCTGCCCTGCGCGCCCGTGCCGCCGCGGCAGTGCTGCGTCTGTCTCTCTTGTTCTCTGCTTATTTACACCACAGACTCGCCCGCTGTAGCTCGTGGGGGACTTCAGTGCTAACTGGGTCTGACGAGCCTGTCTCCACGCGGCACTGCAGTGGGGAGAGATGTCACATCTGGGGGAGGTGGCTCCCTGTAATTGCCAGGCTCCGCTGGGGACTCCCTCTGGGCTCCGCTGCCGTCCGCATGATAAGAGGCTCCGGTGGGAGATGGGGAGCAGGGGCAGCACTGAGTGCAGAGTGCACGGGGTGCCAGGAGCCGGGGCAGCGCTCCCGGCACTGGCCCTTGGGGATCGCCCGCAGGGGGGAGCAGACCTGCCCGCCTGCATCCCGTCCCAAGGCCGTGCACGAACGTGCCAGCTGTGCACCCCTATAGCGGCCCTGCTAAGGGGCTGTCTGTCACAGCTCACCCTTTTTGCTAGAAATAGCTGGGGACAATCAGTGTCCTCGCAGGGCGAGGTGACGGGAGGTGACGGGAGGTGTTAGCATGCCGCGTGGGGTCGCGGGGTGCTTCCCGTGTGTGGGGCAGCCACGCCGTGTGCACGGTCCCGGGCACACGCCACAGCACCTCGCTGATCTGATGGGACATGGCTGGTGTGAGGAGATCAGAGCACTTTCGGTGTGAGGAAGCATCACGGCACGTGGCCGCCAGCAGCCAGCCTGCGCGCTGCGGGGTGCTGCAGGGACACCGGAGGGCTCCGGCGCTTGCAGGAAAGCTGAGGGCTGTGGTGGGGGGCACAGGCCCCTTTACCTACCCAGACCCAGGGCACCTTAATTCCTTGCCTCTCCAGTGGTGTGACAGGCAGCAGCACAGCCCTCGCCTCTTGTGCCACCTCCTAATGCTGCAGCTGCCCTCAGCCCATCAGGCCCAGGCGCAGCGCTGGTGGCAGCAGCAGCAGGGGGAGACAGCCTGGCCCCAGGGACGGGCAGCCCCTCTCTGGGGGCTCAGTGCCAACCGGGGTCCCACGGACCCTGGGCTCGCCCCCCTGCATCAGTGCCGGTTCCCAGCTAGGGCGGTTGGCCGGCTCCTCGCTCCAGGCAGGTTGCAGGCAAAGTCTTGGCGTGGGTTAGGCTGAGCCGGGAGGGACCCTGCAGCCCCGGGGGACGGAGCAGCACCACCAGAAGCTGTACCCTGCTCGGGGGAGCATATCGCGGTCCTGCGGTGAGGGGATGGCAGGAAGGGAAGCACGCTGCTGTGGCCGGCGACTGCAGGGTGCCCGGCGTGTGCGGAGCCTTCCTCCACCCTCCCCTCCGTGCAGGGAGCGCGGCTGCCTTGCCAAGGACGGCCAGCCCTTGCAGCAGTGCCAGCAGTCCCTGCGGGGCACTAACGGGCATTGCCGCTGATGGCCTGATCAGGGCCGAAGAGCCGCTCTTCTCCCAAGTGGAGGACTCTGCCTCTGCTGCAGCAAACCCCAATTGCCTGGTGCCTGAGTGCCACCTCGGTGCCACCAGCACAGTGTGCCGGGAACAAGTCCCTGGCACTTAGGGAGGCCCCTTGCAGCAGATCAGCTGCCCAGGAGGGACTTGGCATGTTTGTCCGTGCTTAGGGCAGGTGTTTAGGGCAAAGATCTGGCGAGCGGGTGAAACAGCAGAAAAAGCACAGTCAGGCCCAAGAGAAAAGCAGAAGCAGTGCCAGGCTTTGAGGCTCAATAAGAAAGAAGGTGCAGAGGGGGCAGCTGAGGGTGACCCATCCCAAAACACCCCCTGCCACCACGTCAGGGGCTGTTTGTCAGTCTGTCCCTCCGGAAGGAGAGGTCCCTGGATGCTCCAGCACAGCAGGTTTAGCCGTGCGGTGCCACGTGCCCAGCTGCAGACCGCACTGCCGCAGGCGGGATGGCTCTTTGGGACAGATCCGGCCCCCACCCCCCCACTTACAGCCTCTGAGGGGAGGGCGGTGGGCAGGAGCTGTCTGAAGGGCATGCCAGCAGGACCTTCCCTCGCAGGGGCACACGGTGACCCTGGGAAGGCTGCCCACCGGGAAATGCTGGGAGCCCTGGAGAAAGCTGCCAGGGAGATGCTCAAACAGCCACTCTGCACCGCAGGCTCCTGCGTGAGGTCCCTGCCCTTCCCGCGGGCTCAGGCATCCCCTCCGGCCACAGGACGACAGCCGCCAAAGCCAGGCTGGTCCCCCGCCACGCGTGCTGTCCCTGTGCAGCAGCCTCAAGAGCACAGCAGGGCTGAGGTCCCCGGGGACGTGCCCTGGGGACGTGCCAGGGACTGAGCTCCCCGGGGACGTGCGGGGGTCTTGTGGCAGGGCGCAGGGGTGGAGGCGGGTGCCGGGGCGTGGAGCCGTGGCGGGCGGGGGGCCGCGGCAGGCGATGCCCTCTAACGCCGTCCCCTTCGCCCTGCTCGCCCGCAGCGTGGAGCATGATTTCCGGCAGCAGGAGGGCCGCTTCCAGCGGGTGCTGAGCCATATCGAGGGCGACACGACGCCGAGCTCCCCCTCAGCGGCGGTGGGGGCCGTCCTGCCGCCCAGGCAAGAGCCGTCGCCGGTGACGAAGCTGCCTGTGAAGCTGGATGCAAAGAAATCCAGGCGCAAATGCTTCTGGTTCCTGTGAGCCAGCCGTGCCTGGCGGTCCAGGAGCGCGGGGGCACCATCCCAGCACTGACCCCCTGCCCACGTCTCCTTCCTCCTCTCCCTCCCTCTGACGGTAGGGTTTGGGTAGCACCAGCTTTTATATTTTTAACCGTTCAGTTTAATCTACTGAAGCCCCTGTGTAAATAAGGCGAGGGGAACAATGGCTGTATTTAATGAGAATTCAATAAATTCTACGGAGACGCTATTTTTGTTACATCCTCTCCCACCTGTGCACTTCTGTTCTGGATGAGGATGAGGAGGGGCTGGTGGCTGTTCCACTGCACGGGCTGCGGTGCTTTCCCAGCCCCAGGCATCCCCAGCCCCTTGGTGAGAGCAGCCTCAGGCCCCCTCCGCCTTGGGGCTCCCCAGGGGCCGCCTGCAGCCCCGGTGCTCCCAGCCTGCCCCAGCTGAAACCAGTGCCTGTCCCTGCACCCCACAGCATGGCTGCCCGCCCGTGCCCTAGGCTGCTGCCTGCAGGTTAACCAGGAGTGCCCAGGGTTTCTCCTGCACCCCCAGTCAGAGACGGTGGAAAATGGTCTCTGTGGGACCCTGGCCAGGAGAGAGGAGAGCTGTCCCCGAGACCTCCCAGGTGGGAGGGCGGGCTGTGTGGGGGTCCCAGGGGACATGGGACGTGTTCTTCCAGCAAGCTCCCCTGTGCGAGGCCAGGGGGCTGGGGGCCGAGCCCCGCACAGCCTGCCTGTACCCGGGCTGCCACAGGAGCAGGGGCTGCGTGGGGCTGCGGGGGCTAGGAATTCCCTCTCCCCCTTCGCGGCCGGCTGGCGGGGCCTCCCTGGCTGCAGGATGCGCTGGCTAATTACAGGGAGAAAGGAATTAGCAGCTCAAATATTCCAGCCTCTGCAAGGCTGCCCACGAGAGGAGAAATTCAGCGTCAGTTTAATGAGGGTCCCAAATCAAAGCGGCTGGCGGCAGCAGTGGGAGGCGAGAGTACGCTGAGTGCGGCGCAGTAGGTACTCCCCATGCTCCCCCCAGCCCGCTGGGACGCGCCGTGCCCTGGCCACCCTCCGCTGCCGTGGAGCCGCGGGTGAGCCATCCCCAGAGCCCGGGACCGGGCAATGCTGCCCGTACGCAGCACCGGGGCTCTCACCTCAGCGTCTGCGGGAGTCACGGCTCTCCCAGCGGGGCCACCAGCCTCAGAGAGCAGGATGTCTCCCAGCCTCCTCCGGGAGGTGCCGGGCACCCCAGGACACAGCAAGCGGTTGTTGTAACCAGAGGTCTGGTGAGGGCGGGCAGAGGGCGGGAGGGTCTGGCCACGGCCTCTCCAGCTGGCACCCGCACCACGGTACCCCACAGCAGGAGGCTCACACGTGCGGGAGCTGACACGGCGTTAAGCCCCATCCCTTGTGCCGGGGACCCGCCTGGCGCTCGCGGGGCTGCAGCCCGGCAGTGCTGAGGGGGGCTGGCGGTGCCGAGGGGCCCCCGCGGTGCCGAGGGGCTGCAGCTGCTCGGCTGTGGGAGATGCTGCAGCGCCCAGCGCCAGCCCCACTCACCAGCAGCCGCCCGAGCCTCAGCCGCAGCCTCTCCTGCGGCAGCTTGTCCCTTCCCTGCCACGCACTCGTGAGCCCCGTGGGACGGGGCCAAGCTGTGAAGGCAGGGGCAGGGGAGGTCGGAGGCCTCTCCGTGCCCTAGTTCCCGGGACAGTGAATCTGGGGCGCTTCTCCCTTCTTGCCCAGCAGCAACAGGAGGGACAGAGGCCGCCCCTGGCATGGGCACGTGTCCCTGGTGCCCCCGAGCCTTCCTGGCAGCCACAGCTGCTGGAGCAGCCTGGGCTGAGGGGGCCTCGGACACCAGGGCGGAAGCAGGGGCTGCAGCAGCGGCATGGAAGTCATGAACAACACTCGGAAAGCTGCCAGATGGTGTTTCTGGAGCCCGGCAGGGCCGGCGTGTGGGAAAGGGAGCAAGTGGTGGGAGTGAGGCACAGCCAAAGGATCGCTCCCCTTCTCCCACACTGTGTATGGGGCCACGCTTCAGCACCCAGCGTCCCTCCTCGCCTCTGTCGCAGCCTGACAGAGCGTGCCTAACAGCTCTTTTTGCTCTTGCTTCCTCTGGCACCGAATCACGCAGCCTGGGAACAAAGGCTAAAAGCAAGATGATACCAAATGCAACTCTGTACACATCTCCTGCCTGAGTCACACTCCGACGCTGAGCGCCTGCTGTGCACGCCTGGCACAGCCCCACGGCACAGCTTTCGGCAGCGCAGCTGCGGGCACGCCTGGTGAAGTGGCACTGCCTGGCCACGAGGCCACTCGTGCACGGGTGCGTGTCAGGGACGGCACCCGCCATCGTCTCGGCCAGCAAAGCCGCCCCAGGACAGCAGAGCCGCTGCCAGGAAATGTCACCACGGGGCTGCACCGCTGGGGCTGTGCTGGCCGAGCGGGCAGGGGAGGGCAGGCTCAGCTGGGAGCCGGAGGGGAGACCTCGTGCCTCCTCTGTCGCCCGGGGGTGCAAGGAGGGGTCACCGGGCAGGGAGCAGCAATGCCGGTGCCTCAGTGTGTCGGCGGGAGCAATCTCAGCACCCGGGATGCTTGCATACAGGGCAGCCTCATCTGCCCGAGAGCATGGGCAGGGCCAGTGAGGATAAAGCTCCTGTCCTGCCCGCTGGCTTTATTGCCTCGGTTTAGTTAGGTCTTTATTAATGAGAACAAAGAACAGGGGGCAAACCTGCAGGCTTATCCCCAGAAGGCTCAAGCAAAGGGCCGAGCTGCCACTCCAGATGCCCACACCTCCCTGGGCATGGCCCACAGCGCAGCACGGCGCAGCACGGCGCTTCCCCGCAGCACAGCGCTTCTCACTGCTGCACAGCCTTGCTGCTCGCTCCGGGCTCCCGGAACGCACCCAGACCCCACTCCTCGCCCACCCTCGCGACCCAGAGCAGCTTGTTGGGCCCACACCCTGCTGCCTGGCCGAGCACGCTGGGCCTGCCGCCCCGTCCACGTCAGAGCGTCCACGAACCCACGCTGACCACAGCTCTGTTTCCCCCTCCTTCACGATAGATCATTGCACCCGGTGCAGCTGCTCCGCGCGAAGCTTCAGCCGAGCAGCGCTCTGGCCGGCCCACCCCTCCCACGAGAGGTGGCTGTCCCAGCACATTCCTCCCACGTGCCCTTGGCATGTAAAATTGTGACGGTTCCCCACGTCCAGTTCCTGGTTTTCAGAAGAATACAGCCCAAACCCCTCATCTGCTTCCAAAACGGGCTTCCTGCACCGCAAACACTGCCTGCTCCTCCCAGCGCACCCTCTGCTCCAGACCTGCTCCCGGCATGGCTGCCCCTCCCTACCGGCACATCCAGACCCAGCCAGCTGGGTACCAGGCTGCAGTGCCAGCTGAGGAGCAGCGTCGGTCACCCCATCCCAGACCCCTAAATCAGTGACGCCTTTTGCACCTCCCGCATCTCCCAAAGGCAGCCGTGGGAAGCGGCATGGCCCTGATGCCCGGCGCAGCATGAGCGGTGGTACTCACCCGCAGGCTGTTCTCCCGGTCCAGGACGATCACCCTCCGATTGACAGTGTGCAGCAGCCGCTCCAGGATCAGCTGGATGTGCTTCTTCACCTTCACCTGCAAGGCAAGAGGTGTCACAGCCACGCCTGAGCGCCTGGCGCTGCCTGCCGTGGTGCCGGGAGGGAGGGCACAGGTGACAGCACCATCACCGCAGCTGACGGGAATCACCCCCACGGCACAGAGCCGGCACACGGTCCCCAGCCCCGCAGGCACTGGGCGCTGGCAGGCTGGGCTGGGGGCACGCCGCCTCCCGGGCCATGTGTGATCGGCCCCGTGGCACCGCCGCAATTACTGCAGTCACCAAAAAAAGCAGGCAAGGAGGTTGCAAAGTGTTTGCAGTTATTCTTGGCAGGGCGTGCGGGAGCCAGGACTGAGGGCACAAGCTTCCTCAGCACCCCATAGCGCCCCAGGGAGCGGGGAGGAAGCAGCTCTGCTCCAGCCGCGGTGGCCGTCAGACGAGCCCTAACACCTCTGCAGCTCCAGATGGGGGGGACCGTGGCCGCTGGACGAGCCCTGTGCCCGGGACCCTCAGCTGTGGGCCCAGACAGCTCTGGTCCTTGGCAGCGGCCGGGCGGGAGCACGCTGCCAGGAAGGAAAGGCTCGCGGCACCTCGGGAGACAGGAAATCACGAGCTGATGCTGAAGATTTGTGATTTATATAAAATACTGAAATAAAAGGCTTGTCCACTCCAGCACAGCAGGTATGGCTCATTGAATCACTGCGCGGGGGGCTGGCGGCACCAGGGTGACCAGCTGGAGCTGCAGCTGGAACAAGGCGATGCGCGCCGGTGTAAATATGGGGCTCGGCCTCGTATGCCTCCCTGGCAAAGCCGGCCACCTGGCTGGGGGCGGCTGGGGACGGCTGTGTCCGCGCTAGCCAGAGCTGTCCCCCAGAGTGGTCAGTACTGCAGACAAAGGTGGGCTTACAGCTCACACGGGGTTCAAACAAGAGAAGTATCCTCACCCATGAGCACCCTGACTACCCTCTCCTTAAAGGCTATTTTAGGTTTAAAAGTTAAGGCCAAAACTAGACATTTCAACCACAATTTCTAAGCTTTCCCTTCCATTGCCTGGGCTTCCCGGTGCCACAGGAATTAGAAAGCCACGCTCACGCAGCCACCTCGCCCACCCAGGACACGGTGGCATGCGTCTAATTCAGCTTCCACAGCGCCGGCCACTGTGCTGTAGGTCTGACCTCTGCACTTCCCAAGGGCTCCCAGAAAGGGACCCCAAAGCACAGACCAGCCTAAAAGGACAGAAACGGAGGAAGTGTCCTACAGAGCCAGAGCACAGATCCCTGCGCTTTCCCCAAACATTGCAGGAACGGCCACCGCCGGCAGCTGCCACGCAGCTCCTAGCCCCTCGGCCCCGCCGGGGGGGGGCTGGGGGTTTGGGG